CCTCTCCCACTCCCCCTGCTTGTGTTCCCTCTCTCGCTGTGTCTCTCTCTGTCAAATAAATAAATAAAATCTTTAGAAAAAAAAAAAAAAGAAATGCAAGAGTTATGGTAGATTCGCGTCCTTCACCCACTGGACTTGCCCCAAACCACACAGCTACAGAGCTGGAATCACCCAAAAAATGACCATAACAGGGAAAAAGAATTACCTGAGTGACACCCCTTATTCAAGTACAGCTTTCTATTTATAAAAGTGGTAGTTCACATCTATCAGTCAGTAGGGGCCCTGGCACCGACTTCTCACTGATCACTTGAGGGGGGCAGAGAGAAGGGCAGACAGTCACTCTGTGTGCTGGGATTCCAAGCCTCAGGACTCTGCTGTGAAAACCAATGCCATTCTGTGAAACAGTATTCAGAGCTTTAGCGTTCAGAAAAGCCGCTGGGCCGTTCTTTTCAGGCTATCCCAAACTCGAGCACAAATGAAGGAGCAAGTGAATACTAAAAAAGCAAATGCACTGATTAGCTTCCCAAACAAGAATATCATTTATTTGCCGACCCAAGCTTGGAGGAAAATTACAGTAAAAAAAAAAAGAACCGGAAAAAGAACACAGTACCGTTGGGCTAAAGGATAAGCTTGTTCAAGATATGGCTCTGTGTTATTGAATGACTGTGGATCGCCTGCTCACTTGTTTGGGTTCTTGACATTTTTAGCCATGGTTTATTTATTTGGAATGTTAATTGGTGGTGTTTCTCTCGGTGTGGGGTTTATAAACTGTTCTATCAAGCTCCTGAAAAACACAGCGATCACTGAGATGATTAGGAAAATAAGGCGCATTAACATAATGGACAGCACCTGCACTGGGGCGGGCACCTCCTCTTTCAGCTCTTTCGTGGGCCCACTGTCAATGCTACCTCCATACCCTTGCTCCTCGCAGAACGGAGGGGCCCAGCCATAGCCACAGTGACAGTTTTTCTTATTGTTGCAAATGCCTCGGTTGTTGCACTTCTTAGGAAAACAGTCAGGTTTCAAGACTGAGGTATGCACACAAGTTCTGTTAATACACAGCTGTTCAAAACCACAGGGGGTACCATCAAATATTTCACCCACATCAGGTATTCCCGAGGGTGTCAGGGATGTGTGGTAACCTATCCCCCAGCACATGAGATTCTCCTCTCGCAGATGAGTAGAGATGAGGATCGAATGCTCTGGCATGTCAGGGATGCTCTTGACATTTATACACTGTATCCTGCCACACTTTACGTTTTCCCTGGCACAAGCTACGTAGGTTTTGCCTCCTATAATACCACAGTTCCCATATTGATCACCCACTAAATTCACTATGCGATAGCACTGATCAGGAGCCTCCCTGGCATCAGGTCCAAAAATGTTTTGGCACTGCGTATATCTGGAATGGCACCTCTTTTTGAAACACATGGAGTTACCCTTGCAAAGGGTTCCGTCATGCTTAAAAGTGTCATCTGGGCAGAAATGTGAGATTCCATTGCAGTACTCTGCAAGGTCACATTCATTGTCTTCCTTTCGACATATGTACCCAAGTGGACGAAAGCGACATTTATGACAGCAAAGCCCAGTGCTACAATTGGCCGTTCGCGCGAGTTTACAATCCGGTTCGCAACAACGGTCTTTTTTACAGTCCTCTCTTGAACCACAATCACATTCTTCATTGCCTTCCACAATTTTGTTTCCACATCTCTCCACCACATAACCCAGTCCTGGGATATTATTTAGACATTCTCCGCCTGAATTTATGTGACTAAGATATTCACTATAACTACAATTACTAAACCCACTACTCCCAGTGCCCATGATACAAGTTCGCTTACCCCTGCATTGACAATATTCTGTATCATGTTTCATTCCCACACCGTGGCCCAGTTCATGAGCAGACAGTCTACTGGCTTCAAGGATATTTAGATTTGGAAAACTACTTATTGATCCACTATATTTGGCCTTACATATGCCTCCAATATACGCCCATCCAAGAGCATGAGTGAAAGCACCTGTAATATACAAATGCGCCCAATCTGCAGAAACCCGACCAGAAAGGGTTGTTGTACTATATTTTAAAAATGAGTTTAGAAGTTCTTGTGAGGTCATGTGGTGAATATTAAATTTGTCGTTATTTGTCCATATTTCAACACCTTGTAGCTGTAGTCTCATACTGATATCTTTAAAGAAGGTGTCCATAACCCCAGTCAAAAGAATGGCATCCTGTATGACTCGAGTAATATTGGAATCTGAAAACAAAAATCGACTGTAATCAAAGACCAGGGCTAGTTCCATGTACTTCTGATGCTTATAGGATCCATGATAGTCCCTAAGCCTCACCATAATCTCACTCTGAGCCATCTGCTTTTCTAGCTCATCATTAATTAAGCCACAGGTCTGATTCTGAAATCTGTCCTCTTTCTTCAGGAGATACATGACATGTTCAAAGCTGGAAGAGGCCTTGAGGGGCTCGATTTGATAATGTTCCTCATCAATTTTCAATATGCCTCGGAGACTCCCGGTGCATGTACTTAAAGTAGCTTCTGAATCCTGAGTTCCTTCAACCAAGCCTATGTAGTTGCAGTCCCTGGGTATGTAAGGGTGATCCTCCAGGAGTTTCTCCTGTTCTGTGAAGGAGAAAACCTTTAGATTTCGGGGCAATAGAAACCTCTTGGGCCAGAGGTGGAGGATATACTTCTTGCCTTTGACCTGCAGGAGGTAGGACACTTGCTGGACGGCACCCTGCTGCCCTCCCCGGAAGCTCAGCTTCTTGGGAATGATGATTTCATACGACTCAAATCCCCACTCAGGGTGAAAAATTAAATCCTCGCCAAGAGCATGAACCAGGAGCGCCACCAGGACGAGCACGGGGAGCGAACGGCCTTTGGGGAGTAAGGTCCTTACTGACCTCATGGCCCAGATCGGTGGCCCTAGCGAGTCAATCCCAGCAACCGGCCCGGCGAGTCAGGTTCCAGGGGCGGCCGCTAGAGGCGCGGGAGCGCCAGGTGCGGAGCTCCCAAAGCAGGGTATGCAGGAACCCCGCCCCCGCCTCCCAAGGCTCCGTCTAGTTGACATTCCCAGAACGAATCCAGTTCGTTTTCTGCGCTGTGCCGTTGGGCGCACGAGGGAGAACCGAGGGAAAGGTGCTCGAGAATAAAACTGGAAAGAGGGGCTTTTGGCACGAGGGACGGAGAAGGGCAGAGAGCAGGTTGGAGAAAGGAGAAGGAACAGAGAAAAAGGAGGAACAAAAGAGGTCTTGTTCGAGGGTCGCTGCATCCCGTGCTGTTTCTTGTTTCTGTACTCCCTAGGACACACCTGATGTTTTCCATCCGTGAGAATCAGATGTTTTCTAGGCACAGCGCGCGCCGCGCCGTCACACCATTCCCAGCTCTCCGCCGGACTCACGTACCCCCAAGCGGAGCAGCAGAGCCAGAGAATATCAGTGAAGGTCTAATCCCCAACCCCTCCCCCGGGCAGGGCCTGGCTTCCGGCCGGAGAAAGTTTCCAGCTCATTTTGTCAGGTGGCTCTTTGTGCTGTTTGTCCTTGGGTGCCAGGGACTAGCGGGATTTGGGGCGTGTGTGCAGCGGGGGGAGAATCTAGGAATAGAAAAGAACTTGTGAGAGCAGAACCCCCAGGAGTTCTCCGAGAAAGGCAAATTGGTGGTTATGTTTGTAGGTTGAGTGGTGGGTGAGGGAGGAGACCGTAAAGGACCACGGATTAAAATGATTTTTAAAACGACTGACAATAGCATATTTTGATGAGAGTGTAGAATGATAACAACTCTTACACCTTTCTGGAGGTAATTTAGTAGGCCAAACCGCGTTAGAAAGCTGTTTAGCTCATATAGCTGAAAATAGGCAGACCATATGATCCAGCAGTTCCATTCCTAGATATATACCCTACAGAAATGTGTGCATAAATTTACCAGGATACATGGAAGCAGCAATGTTCTCCAAATTGGAAACAATTCAAATTTCCATCAACAGTGACTGCAGCAATGAGATGACACATAGGAGTTATTTATATGCACGACATGGATGAATATTACAAAGAAAAACAAACGTAAAGATCAAAATCAGACAAAATTAAACTTTACTTTTAGGGATACATGGACTGTTGGTAAAATAAGTCAAGGAAATAATTACCCGAATGGTGAGGATGAGTTGTCACCCTACTTCTAGGGTGAGCAGAAGGGGCTGTAATCAGGAGTGGATGAGGGAGGGGCAGGGTATGGTTCATGTAGCTTCTAGAGTTCTAGGGGTGTTGCTAGTGTATGTCTTGACCACTGGGGTTTGCTGTGCATATTTGTTAAACCATTCCTAAAAATTTATGCTCATTTCTGTGTATGTTATATTCACAGTGAAAAAAAAATGTTTTAATAACCTAAAAATTTGTGTCTATTTTCTGAGATGAGACAAATATGCTTTCATTAATCTTTAGGTTGACAGATTAGCTTGGAGACATAACGATATTGTTGAAGGGATAGTGCCAGTAGATTAAATATGACTATTTTTTTAACTTCAACCAAGTTTTTTAACTTCAACCAACATCGTAAAATTTGTCCCTTCCAATTTTTTTTTTTTTTAAAGAATAGCTCCAAGGTTTTGAGAGGGCCATCATTCATTCATTATGTCCCTTTTGGAAAAGAATTATTAAAAGAAAATTTTATAGATGAAAAGCTTTTGACTTGTTGGTATTAAGATAAAACTAAGCACAACACACAGCAATGTTTATTTCTCTGCCAAAGTTACCTTCTGTATCAGTCTGGGTTCAGTCAGGAGAAAGAATCCCTATCACAGTGGAAGAGGGAAAGGTAATATAGAGAATTATTAATTTGAACATGTAATTGGAGGAATAAGAGATTTGCTGGTAAACTGTAAAGATAACTCTAGAGAATATTGGAATTGTGGATAGAATACTTAATACAGCAAATATGCAATGATATAATAAGATACGGTATAATATAAAAGAAAATACAATATATTATATAGTATAGTAGACCTACCAACCTGAGGGGTGAAACTGGCCATCCAGGAAGAGCTAGCCTCCTCCTAGGGCTGAGATCAGACCTTGTGAGGTGCCACAGCCTTGGATACTGAATGGCGGAGAAGTCAGTGAGGTAGCACTCTGGTGGATCTTGCCATAAATCCAACCTCTAAGGTACTGGGGAGGCTGTTCACAGGAAGGTGTCTCACTGAGGCACTCTAGGGCACTGGGGAAAGTTGTTCAGAACAGCATCTCACCGGGGCCCTCGAATACATTCTGCTACAACCCCCACCCCCCGGGCATAGGGACTGCCTGCCATTGTTGCGGCCGCTGACTGCCACACACTGCAGATGCTGGGTGCTGCAGAAGCTGCCTGCCCTTGGGAGCCTGGCATGGAAAGCTACAGTATACATCAGTGTAAACTGCAGGGGGAGCCTGACCAGGAGTCCCTGGAACCAGGAAGGAAAGCCTCTTCCTCCTACAAGATCTCTCCAGCTGATTAAGCTTAACATAGTGCCATCCGGCAAAGCAAACATATTTAAAGGTCCCATATCCACTGTTACAGATCAGGTAGAAGGGATGATTTCGGAGGTAAGAGGCAATGAACTGATCATCCACACGGTCTGCTCTGAGGAATGCGATCTGCCAGTCAAGAGAGGCACGACTACCGAATTCTAGTTAGCGCTCTCTTGGCTCTCACACAGATATTTGAGGCTGGGATAAGGAATAAGGACTATGTGCCCTCAGGATGATTCTTCCTGAGGCACAGAAGGAATTGCTGAATGCATCTTTTCTTTCCAGTGTTCTCCATTAGGTCAACAGAGGCCCCTAAATCCATAGCTTCCCAACATCGCAGTTTTTCTCGGCTGACATGGATTGGTGGAATCCTGTATCCAACATCCAGAATGCATGTGATTTCTTTCACCATTTGGTTGGAGTCAATAATCACTAACAGGAAAGATTCTGTTCAAAACCAAACCAAACCAAACAACTCTCTCTGGTCCTCTTTAATGGCAACAGCTTCTAATAGTTTATATTTCCTCTTGGACTTTTTTAAAAAATTGTATTGTGTTATGTTAGTCACGATACAATACATCATCAGTTTTTGATGTGGTGATCCACGATCCATTGTTTTCATATAACACCCAGTGCTCCATGCACTACGTGCCCTCCTTAATACCCATCACCAGGCTAACCAGCCCCCCCTTCCCCCTCCCCTCTAAAACCCTGTTTGTTTCTCAGAGTCCATAGTCTCTCATGGTTCATCTCTCCCTCCAATTCCTCCCCCCCT